CTTATTTTATAAAAGGGACTCCCTCACCTTCATTAGAGAGCATCGTCGCCAGTTGAACAACCGCCTCGCCGCGAGCATCACTCCTAATTCATCACTTATGTATTGAGGAGCAAGCCCTTATTTTATAAAAGGGACTCCCTTACCCTCATTAGAGAGCGTCGCCGCCTGTTGAGCAACCACCTCGCTGCGAGCATCACTCATAACCCATCACTTATGTATTGAGGAGCGAGCCCTTATTTTATAAAAGGGGCTCCCTCACTTTCATTTGAGAGCACCCATCACTTATGTATTGAGGAGCGAGTCCTTATTCTATAAAATGAACTCCCTCACCTTCAACGCCACAAGCCGAGCCAACCAAGGCAACATAAGCCACAAACCGAGCAGCCTCGCAACATGTGCTACTTTTAGTTGAGCATCATTTCATATTGAGCACCGCCTCATATCGAGTATCAGTTCAAGACGACATCTAGTTACTTCGGCCCACAGATGGACTGAATTTCAAGTCTCCAGCCAAAATACTCTGTTGACTGAAGACTTGGGGGACTACTGTTTGTACCATACTTAGGGTCTCAGTATTTAGACCTCGTATAAATACTCGGGGGACTCAAATGTAATTATGTAATGAATGAAGGGGCAAATATGTAATAAGTGAGGAGCCCTTATTCTATAAAAGGGCCTCCTCACCCTCACAAACCTCAAGCCTCACTCTCACATTACAAGGCTTTCATCCTCACATACAGGAAGAACTCACCCTTACAATCCTCTCACAAACAGAGAAATACAATATCAGTGTGGACGTAGCCCAAACATTGGGGTGAACCACGATACATCTTGTGTTCTTTACTTTCTTGCAGATTCACGGTCGGATTTACGTTGTTCCAAGACCCCTCCAGTTTTGTGCATCAACACACTTCATAGAAACCAATTAAAACCTCCATTTTTCCAAATGCCCATATTCCAACTTGCCCAACATTTCTAAGAAATTCAATACTCACTTAAAATTTCATAGAAAATAACTTAAAAAATAGCTTCACCCAACATTTCTAAGAAATTCAATACTCACTTAAAATTTCATAGAAAATAGCTTCACCTTTTCGTGCCAAAGCTAGGGCTTTATGTATCGAATTTTCTTCGGTACTATTGGCTTTTGGTGCTTCAACCATTGGAAGTCACTCTCCTTGGAAGCCATTGAAAGGCACACGAGAGGAAAATGGGCAGAGGAAGAATGAAATTTCTTGAATTTTTGTTAATTGAAGGGATGGAATCACTCTTTTTTATTTAATTCTTTTGACATCAAAAATTATTTTCTTTCTTGTACTCAAAATTATTTTCTTTTTGAAAATCCTAGGAAATCCATGGAAGACAGTCCATACAAATCCATAGAAATCTATATGGAAATCTATATAAATCTGCCAAAATCCATGTAGAATTGTAAAATTTATTAAAATCCTTTGAAATTTGTCACTTAAAAAAATCTATTAAAATCCTATGAAATCCAAATTGACTACACCTCCCTTACTCCCACTTATACAACCCTCTCTTATATGATGAATGAAAGTTATCTTTTAAAAAAAGAATAGTTCCAATAGAAAACAGTAGATTATCATGATAGTTAGGGTAGCATTTCTTGATCTCATGTTTATAGAGAAGCAAACTTTGTGGCTAACACGATTACTAGTGCTGATTTTCAATATTGAGCTCCACGTTTGGAATAGAGCGATACCTATGGTGGCTAAAAAAAGGCTACTTATTTGACTATATGAGAATTGAGTGTAACTGTGGTCACTCTATTTAATATATGTCATTTTTTTTCATTAAAAAAAATTATCAAACCAAATGCATTTCAATAGAAATTAGCTGGTTGGAAAGCCAACACTCTTTCTAGAGCTGGTAGACTTACCTTCATTAAATTAAGCCTAGGTGGAATGCTGAATCACACTATGACCTGCTTCAAAATGCCCCAAAACTAACACAAGCTATTAACAGAGAGAGTAGGAAGTTCCTTTGGAACAAAAAGTCGAATTTTTCCCTTGTGGCTAAGAAGGATACTTGCCTTCCAAGTCTTTAGGGGCCTCGAGATCAGAAAAGCTGAGAATTTTAATCTTGATTTATAGCTAAACTTGCCTGGAAAATAATTACTTACAAAGAAAATTGGTGGGTCAAAATAGTGAAGGTAAAATACTCAATGAATGAAACTTTTTGGAGTGCTAAATATAAACATAGTCATTCTGCTGCTTGGTTTAGTTTTGAAGCCTATAATTCAAAAGGGGATGAGATGGATAGTAGGCAATGGTCGAAACATTTTGTTTTGGTCTCATAATTGAGTTTTTCTTACCGTCTATCCAATTTATTCAAGATCAAGTAAGAGACTCTTTGAATTTGAATCTTAAAAGTTTGTGATGTAATATTGGATTAAAACTTGGACTATAAGGAGTTAATACTTCAATTAGTCCCTAGCGATGTTGCAAATAAAATTCTTGCAATTCTTTTACCGTTAAATGATATGGAGGATGATTTTATTTGGAACCTCTCCAAATAGAACTTTCTCTGTTAAATCAGCCACTTGGATTCAAAACTTTGCTAAATAAAGTTTGGAAACTCAATATTCCACATAAAGTTAAATATTTTAGTTGGTTGTAAGAGAGAGACTTTCCACAAATGTTAAGACTTGGTAAGCACAATTCTAATGGGCAAACTATTTCTGCTTGTGTAGAAATGCTGATGAAGACCAATTACATCGCTTTGTTTATTGCACTCATGCTCAGGAAGTTTGGAAATTATGCAGCAATATCTCTCCGCCTTCTTCTATTGTTAACATCAATGTTTGGTTAAATAATGTTTCCTACATTGATAAAGATGAGCTTTCTGATCTTTGAAAGATCCTCATTTTTGCTGGCAAATGTGGAAAGATAGAAACAGTTTTGTGTTTGGACAGGTTAAACCCCATCCTTCCCTTCTGTATTGGGGGCAGCCATTGTTGCTAAAGACTTTCACAATGCAAACTTGAAGGAGAAAGCTACAAAACCACAAATCACTAGAGAACCTATTAAGTGGAAGGCTCCTGCTGAGGGATTTTTTCAAGCTCAACTTTGATGGATCGGTGGATGGGAACTCTGCTGCTCCGAGCTTCATCATCAGAAATCATAGGGGAATCCTTCTGCTGCCGGATCTCGCCACCATGGCTAGAACACTATCACCACCGTAGAAGCAATAGCTCTTCGAGGCGCTTTGAACTTTGCCAGGATCCGTGGTCTTAAGAATATCATTGTAGTGGGTGACTTGAAGATTGTCGTTGAGGGTGTCTCGGGAAAATGTGTTGTCCCCTAAAGAAATGGATCTATCGTTGAGAACATCAAATGGTTAGCTGGTGTTTTCGACTCGGTGGAATGAAATCACATCTTAAGGGAAGCTAATTGTACTGCAGATGTCATTACTTCTATTGGCCATCATTGCAAGAATTTTTATATTTGGAATGGTTGTATTCCTCAACAAGCTAAAAATGTTTTATTGTATGATTCTATAAGTTTCGAGTGTTACCGAGGAAGCGTCAAATATGAAACCAATAAGCTACAACGGTAAAATATGATAAGACAAATAATTCAAATGACACAAGGATTTATACTGGTTGAACGTAAGCCTACGTCCAGTTCCGAGACAGCAAGGAAATTCCACTAATATCAAAAGGAGATTACAAATAGAGTTCAACACTCAAACCCAAATCTCACATACACCTAATAGCTTTCACTCATACAAAGAACAAATGGAGAAGAAGAAACACATACCAAATCCTTCTCTCCCATAAGCCACAAAATGTAGCACAATATCTTTGAATGAATGATTGCACAAATGGAGAACAGTAAAACAGCAGCACTCAATTTTCTTCTCTATCGGCTGTTCTTCTCTATCGACTACTCTTTGTTTTTCTGCTATCTGCTGCCGCTGCGTTTCTGCTCCCCTCTCTGACCAAAAGACATGAATTGCCTTATATAAGGCTGGTGCCTTTTAATCAAACCCTAGCTGCCATGTGGCTTTCAAATGGGTAACAAAAGGCCAAATCTATTTGGGCTTGAGACAAAAAACTAAAGGCCCAAGAAGTATTGAGCCACAAAATCCAACAGGTTTCTCTTTAAATTATGCTATTTTTTTCCTAAAAAATATATATGCTATTGACAATTAGGAATTTAATTGAAGTCACAAAAATAAATTCGGATATGGAACTAATTTTCTTTATAAACCTACTGATTTCTATTTTATTGTTTTAGAAAATACCAAGTCAACTTATCTTTGACTTTAGTAGCCAAAATTATCCTGATTCTTCGGTGATTTAGTTCAACTTAGAGTACGTTTACTTAAAATAAATGTCATAAAACTTTAATAGGAGAATTAGGAAAGCGATTCAGATCCATTAACATTCCTCTCCCCCCCCCCCCCAAGTTGATTTAATTTGATTTTTAAATGTTTGAGTTTTTATTTATTTATTTTTTATTTTTATAAAAGATACTATATTATTGAGAATTAAAAAACAATAACAAAAGGATAACAGAATAAAAGACAACCCTCTAGATCCCATGTCCTAGAAAATGCGTGATAAAGTTAAATAAACATACTTATATTCTAATAAACATAGAGAACTAAAAATCAAAATCAACAAGTTTAACTATTTGTCGAAGGTAACGAAATATTTTGAACATCATATGAGTGAGTCGATCAACATTTTCTACATTTGACGAGAAGTCGATAAAGAGCTCTTTTATTGATCTTAGTTGGAGAGAGAACTTGTATTGGTCAGTTTCCAAGTATTTCTAACATAACTTCTGTAAGTTACGATTCTTCAACTGCAACAGCCGAGGGAGATGGGATAGGCTATTGCTATAGCCCGCCGCAAGGTTTTGAAGGGAATTTGCTTCACTTGGTTGCCTTGTGTTTGAACTTGGTTGAAACGAGCTCTTGTATTCCCTCGTCCAATATCGCTTGTATAAAAAACTAAAAATGGGCAAAAATTAATTTCTAACGACAGCATATATTATACTCCTTGTTACATGTTGTATCACAATGCATTACACATTCAAAGCATTATTTTTGAACCATATATATGACATAACATACATATGCATATGCTTAGAGCTTGCTAGTGATATTGATGTTTCGCACTCTGGATGGTTTGGGGGTCGAATCTTTTGGGACAACAATAGTGAGAACACCATTCTCAACCTGAGCTTTTATCTGATCCACCTTCACATTTTCCGGCAACTCGATTTCCCGAGAAAAGTCTCCTTTTCCCGTCCCCCTCTCCGCGACGTGCCAAACAGTGTCTTTTGCTGCATGAGCCTCCTCTCTTTCTTTCCCGCCTTCCCCTTTTATCTGTAAAATGTTCCCTTCTTCTATCTGCACTTTTATGTCCTCTTTTCTAAAACCTATTTTGCCACAAAATCTCAGTCACAAACTGTGAATTGTTGGATCCACTTTCCCTAGTGAAAATAAATGGTTCGTTCCTAAAAGCAAAATTGGAGAAGTGGTCCTAAATTTTACTTGAATTAAAGCTTTTGGCCTCGAAATCAAAATTCGCAGAGTAATACGGTGTTACCCAAAAAACTATTCCATATTTTGACAAGTTTAGAGACTAATTACTTGCAAATTTTTAATTCAAAGGACAACTTCTACTGAGGCAAATTCCAAAAACCAATGCTCCAATATTCTCAACCCGTGACATTTGAACAACGAAGTGATGGCATGTATTTCAACGTTTCTAAGTGATATCGCGTTTTTGATATAAGATGTTACGGTGACATATTAGGTGTAATTAAGTTTCACTAAAAACCTAATGGGAGCAAAGAATCCATATGATACACATAAATTTTAATTCCAAATAACAATATTTAGAAGCAGAGATGAATAAAATGAGAATAACTTATAAAACTCATTTAAGGAAAGTAAAGAGAAAAATAATTAAACCTGGAACATTGATCTTGAATATGTGGGCATTAGGGGATTCAAGCCAGTCCATGTGGGCCGTTGATCCTGACCATTCACGGAAACCGGAGGGCTCCAGAGTAGGCGCCTGAACGGGTACCCAAATATGCTATCAGCTGCCATTGTTTTTGTTTCTTTTCTCCGGTCTTACTTTTTTGTGTTTTCTGTGAACAATTTTCAAGCAACTAAAAGCTCGACGTTGATGATATTGATGGGGTTAGTACAGGTATAGGACATCCAAAGAACCCAGAAGCTTCTACTCAAAACCTAGTTCTTATCCATTACAGTTTCCATGATACTTCTACAACATTCCAGTGCGTCTATAGCAGCCGTTGGATCAATTTGATTACCAAGGTCTCTGTCGTTTTTGGGTATTGGGCTAATGAATTGGGTCTTGGAGTAATAAAACATGTCATACTATGCAAATTGCATGTATTTAGGCACATAAAATTAACACATTTGTTGATATTGGTTCTAATAAAAGTAACCCTATGTGATACAATACATATGTATTGTTGATTGTTGTGTATTTAAATAACGAGCCATGTTGTCTTGGTTACATGGTGACCTAAGATTCATGGTCACGAGAGGTATTTTTAGAAAGATTAGATCATAAACATTTCCAACTTTCATTTTATAATTTCGAAATTGGATTAGAGCGGAACACAATTTTTAGATCTAAAACTTTAGGAAGTAATCTCAGAAATTTCTGAACATAATTATGAAATTCATATATTTTACAAGTATTTGAATATTCTCGAACATTTTCGTAAATTAAATCTATTGTTCTTTCTTAATTTTTGGTATGTGCTTATGTATATATCCATTTACTTTTGAGGTATTATTATGCCTATCTTTTTAATGTATACGTGTCTGATTTAAAAACAATGAATAAAATGTACCCAAAACTAGCAATCAAATACAAAAGTTGATTACAAAATAACTTTAAAAAATGGAATATTAATATTGGAATAATTTGATTTTTTTTTATCCAACTAAGTTTGGAACACATCGGAAAATTTAAGATTGATCAAAATATCTAAATGCATTCGAATTTCCAATCCAACTTCGAGACTGGAAATTTTTTCGGGTTCAGAAATTTTGGTGTCAAAATCAAAAACACAATTCCAACTTACACCTCTAATGGTAACTCACCCTTGCATTTGATATCAAAGGTCGAGATTAAAATACTAAAAGCACATTCATTTATTCTCCACTCTTGATTTCAAAACTAAGGGTGAGTAATTATTTTTTTTATATAGAAATATATACAAGCAATATTCTATTTTAAACTAGTATAAAGTGCGAAAAGGAGGTTCCGACTTGGGTGCATAGGGCAGCACATCATCTAAATGTTAGTCATTTGTTTTCATAATGTTTGTAAATGAAAATATATTAACCTTCCTCTCTTTTGGGCTTTGTTCCATGTTACAGTTTTGTGTTGGTCTGTTCTGTTGGCATGTTTATGAAAGATGAATAACACATCTAACCCCAGGCCAATGCCAGGAGGACAAAAAGGAGTAGCTCAAAGAAATGAGAACAAAAACGCACAAACCTACCTGAAACTAGTCGTTTGAGTCAAAACACACTTTTTTCATGAAAAATGAAAACACGAGAACTTTGAAGCATCACACACTTTTTGTGGTTACACTGCGAGGGAATGAAAAACATCTATATAAGCTATGTAGTTTTTAGCATTTACTGTGAGTTTGAGAATATCCATACTTCCCAAGTTTTTGCCTTGTTTCTTCTTCTTTTTTTTCCATCTCAATGTTTGCATCTCTCTCAATTGCGACAAATGCGATTATCAAGCCATGAATCAAGAAGACTTTTCTAAACATAAAAGAAGGGTGACAATTAAAGGTGTTACCTCTATAGGAAAACTTTTGATCTCAAGGGTTATCGCACAGATGTGTTACTCACATAAAAGAATATGATGAATCTTTTTTTTTTTTTTTACTAGTTGTTATAACTTGTACTATACAAAACAAGATAAGTAGTAGCACAATTTATGCTTTGCTTCTCTTGTTTTATGTAGGATAAGTTATAACATCTCATAAGAAAAAAATTGGCCTTCGTATGGTGTTTTGTGGGCGTCCTTCCATGAACTTTTGAGATCAAAAGTCTTATCAGGATAGCACCTATAGGTGGCTAGTGGCTACTTGTACGCGTTTCAGTCGGATATGTTTGGTTAAGTCTTTATTGTTCTTTGCTTCACAATCGCATTTTTCACAGTTGATAGACATCTTAAACATTACAACAACAAACAACAACAAAGCATTTTCCCACCAAGTGGGGTCGGCTATATGAATCCTAGAACGCCATTGCGCTCATTTGTGTCATGTCCAAAGTTTTCTTAGGGTCTCTTCCAAAGTTTTCCTAGGTCTTCCTCTACTCCTTCGGCCCCGAACCTCTGTCCCGTAGTCACATTTTCGAACCGGAGCGTCAGTAGGCCTTCTTTGCACATGTCCAAACCACCGGAACCGATTTTCTCTTATATTTCCTTCAATTTTGGCTACTCCTACTTTACCTCGGATATCCTAATTCCCAATCTTATCCTTTCTCGTGTGCCCATACATCCCACGAAGCATCCTCATCTCCGCTACACCCATTTTGTGTACGTTGATGCTTCACCGCCCAACATTCTGTGCCATACAACATCGCTGGCCTTATTGCCGTCCTATAAAATTTTCCCTTGAGCTTCAGTGGCCTATGACGGTCACACAACACGCCGGATGCACTCTTACACTTCATCCATCCAGCTTGTATTCTATGATTGAGATCTCCATCTAATTCTCCGTTCTCTTGCAAGATAGATCCTAGGTAGCGAAAACGGTCACTTTTTGTGATCTTCGCTAGATTGCTCTGGTCATTAGTGTGGATAAGTATATAAATGGATAGAGATAGGAAAGCAAACACAAGATGTACGTGGTTCACCCAGATTGGCTACGTCCACGGAATAGAGGAGTTCTCATTAATTGTGAAGGGTTTACACAAGTACATAGGTTCAAGCTCTCCTTTAGTGGGTACAAGTGAATGATTTAGTACAAATGACATTAGGAAATATTGTGGGAGAATGATCTCGTAGCCACGAAACTTCTAAGTACCGGAGTGTGGTATCGTCTTGACTTGCCTTATCTGTCTCATAGGTAGATGTGGCATCTTCTCTGGAGGTACTCTTCCTCCATCCAGGGGTGGTATCTGTAACTGGTGGAGATGCACAAGGTATTGTATCAATTTCACTTGAAGCTTACTTGTAGTTTCATGCTTGGTCAAGCGAGATACAAACCATGTAGTAGGAGTCCCCCAAGTCGCCGAGCTGGGGGATCTGCTGAAAGAGGTGACAGACAAGGTAAGCAATCAGAGCTCCGGCTGATTGTTCACATTCTCCCTATCTTGCAGGCAGCATGAAGGATAAAGAGAAGAAAAATGAGGAGAGATGATATGGGATACTTTTGCTTTTGAAGAAGTAACTTTCCACAGGCTTATTCTTGAACTGGGCTGGAGGGTTATCTGGTTTCCTCCAGAGTATAAGGCCGACGACTGAAGAATTTGAGGGTCAAAACAAGCCCATCAAATCTAGAGTACGTTCGACCATGCTGATATGGGATACTTTTGCTTTTGATAGAGTAGTGGATGTATCGGCACGTGTGCTGTTACGCTTGTCTCCACATGCTTCCTTGTATCCTTCTCACTTGCCCTATCTGTTCCTCAGGCAGATGCGGTATCTTCCCTGGAAGCATAAGATGTTGAAGATGAGTACTCGAGAGCAATGCCAGGTAAGTAATCAGGTAAGGGGTTCCAGGCAGTCAGTTCCTGGCTGGAAGCTTGATTCCAAGTGCTGACTGATTGCTCTCTTTCTCCTTGTCTTGCAGGTAAGAACAAGGCCAAAGGAAAAGACAGGGAAAAAGCATGATATGTGATACTCTTGCTTTTAACCCTGATGATATGAGATAATCTTGCCCTAGTATAGCTTGTTTACAGAGGTATTATCGGGGGGAAAGAAAGCTGAATATTTCGAAAGGCTTTGTTGGGAGTGCCCTCTCAGATAAGAGAAAGGGTTGAGCATTTTTGCAGGTCTGCCTGTCCGTTAGGGATGGAAGTCGACATATATAGGAGTCTCCCTAACATCAAGTAATAATGCTATTCCTTTACCCTGCTTGGTTATAGCACAGTAGTGGGAGCTGCCAGCTTCACATGTTTTAACTCTGTCAGAGCACTTTGAAAAAGTGGTTTGTGGTATCTGGAAAGCTGATGTTGCGTGTGAAGATTACAGACCTGTCGGGGGTCTGGCTCTCGAGATTCGGAGAACGATGCCTCTTCGATTTTTGAGAAAGCAATCCTGCTGGGGGTCTGGCTCTCGAGATTCGGAGAGCGGTGTCTCTTCGGTTTTTGAGAAAGTAATCATGTTGGGAGTCTGGCTCTCGAGATTCGGAGGGCCGTGCCTCTTCGATTTTGGAGCAAGCAATCTTGTTGGGAGTGTTTTCTCGAATGTGAGTAAAGGTTGGGCATGTTTGCTAGTCTACCTTGCCACGAAGCACAGATGTTAACACACAGGGACTTTCCAATTATCCAGCAGTGGTACTGTTCCTTTACCCTCTCTTCGATTTTGAGAAAGTAATCATGTTGGGAGTCTGGCTCTCGAGATTCGGAGGGCGGTGCCTCTTCGATTTTGGAGCAAGCAATCTTGTTGGGAGTGTTTTCTCGAATGTGAGTAAAGGTTGGGCATGTTTGCTAGTCTACCTTGCCACGAAGCACAAAGGTTGACACACAAGGACTTTCCAATTATCCAGCAGTGGTACTATTCCTTTACCCTCTCTTCGATTTTTGAGAAAGTAATCATGTTGGGAGTCTGGCTCTCGAGATTCAGAGGGCGGTGCCTCTTCGATTTTGGAGCAAGCAATCTTGTTAGGAGTGTTTTCTCGAATGTGAGTAAAGGTTGGGCATGTTTGCTAGTCTACCTAGCCACGAAGCACAGAGGTTGACACACCGGGACTTTCCAATTATCCAACAGTGGTACTGTTCCTTTACCCTTGTGGGTAATAATATGGTAGCTAGACCTTCAAAATTTATGTGTCTAAACTTTGTTAGTGTTGTTTCTTTGCAATTCTTTTACCCTTCTTGGTCAGAGCGATGTAGTGGGAGCTGCAAGCTTCACGTGTCTCAACTTTGTCAGAGAACTTTGGCAAAGTTATCTGTGGTACCCATGAGCTACTGTTACGTGTGGGAAGTGGGTGATTGAACAGTACGATTCATGTGCTTTCTACTTCGCCAGAAATCTTCGACAGAATGCCCATAATTTTGTCGAATCATGTGCTTTCTACCTGTTGCCCATAATCATGTGCTTTCTACCTGTTGCCCATAATTTTGTCGAATCATGGCAACAGGAGGAGGGGGAGGGTGTCAGGTAGTCGACAGCCGGCACTCCATGATCACGTCGAATCCTTTAATTTAATCTTAAACATTACAAAAAAAAAAAAAAAATCAAATGAAATTAAGCAAAAGACAACTGAAAATTAAAAAAAAAAAACATGAACTTTTTTATAGATCTGAAATGCAGAAAATCCGAGAATAGGTAGATAGCAATAAGATACCAACTTTACTAGATTGATATAATGCATTTTGGTCTTGAAGAATGCAAAAGGGAAAACTAACAATACAACTACCGTTCTCCTATCAAGAGGGCAATTTTATTTCTCCTTGCTGCCTTTTGCGAAAACAAATCTTACAGCAAATCAAAACTAGAGTCTTTTATTTTGTATGGTGGATATCTGATCTACCATCAAGTGAAAGCAGATTGGTAATACCATCAAGTTAACTGTGAAGCGGATTTTGTCCTGTAGGAACACGTCGGTGCGAAACTACGTGGACGAGGTTAGGTTCAAATTTTGGATTTGCTTCCTGAACAATTTCAACCGTTGTTAATGCATTAAAATTTTCTTGATGGGGCTTCTAAGTTAAAGGCTTTCATAATCTGGACCTTGGTGTACACAACTCTCCCTTAATTGTTGATCTTAGCAGGGGTTTCTGCACAACTTTCATAATTTGGACATTGGTTAGGTTCAAATGCATATTGGATGCAACATTTATTACATCCAACATTGTTCTTTTTGCGTATAATGTTTCAATTCAAGCATAACGTGAAGTCCTATTCACACTCTTTGACTTGTTAAAAAGGACGATGAGTAGCTTTCATAAGCATTGATGCATTGTTAATGTCTTATTAAAAACATTTTTATTCTAATAAGCACAAGGCAAGTTTATAGGTCCTGAGTTAGAATTCTCATCAGCACACATATATGTGAGTTTACTTAATGATTTGAATGTGATTGCACGTATTTAGTACTTACCTTTAAGTACTGTACTTTGATGAAGGAGTAAGGGGTGAAATTTTTCTTCCTTTTTCTTGTTAACTTTTTCGGTAACATGGAAGAAAAAGAGAAGAGAAACACTAGAAACACTAAGAAACAACTAGTCTAGCTCTAGCGACATGCTGACACCAGAAGGTATATGCCATCATTGAAAAGAATTTGAACAACTAGATTTCTTGTTAACTTTGACTTGATAGCAAAGTTGTTTAAATTATAGCAATACTTCATCACTAAGAAACTAAACAAAAATGAATTATAAGGGGACATTTTAGAAAGCACAATACAATTACATACAGAAGAATAAGAAGTCACAAAAAGATAAGATCATCTGCCCTTTTACAAAAGAATATGCCTCTTTCTTTACTGTCATATTAGACAACACACCTTTGTTAAGTGGAGAGGAGATTGGAATCATTAGCCTTTTTTTTCTCTCTTTCCATTTAACTTTTATTTTAGGTAAGCCCCCGTCGTACATATTTCCATCATATTTTATATGAACTCTCTACTTTTGGAGAGAAAAGTAATTAAATCAAAGAAATTAAAGCGTAAAGAGAGGGAGGAACGACAGTAGACATAATGAAGAGAAAAGATAACCAAGAGCAAGATCAATTGCGAAGCCAATAACTTTGCATGCTCATTATTTATTTACCTGCACAGAAAGTAAAAGCCAGAAAATTTTGTTGAGATATCCCTGCATATACGGTATCTCTACTTTCTGGTTCTAAAGCTAATGAAGAATCAATAATAAAAAATGAACCATGAATTTTTTTTTTTTTTAGAAGAATGGAAATTATGGTAAAAGAAAGACAATCAAGTGAAGATACTACGTACCATTGTTCCCAAAAATCCTTCTCATGAAAGTAAGAAAAACAATGAGTAGAGCAACTCCAGCCAATAATCCAATTATCACAGCAAATGTCTTCTCACCATCATTGGTGGATTTATCTGCCATTCATTGTTGAATTTAGAAAAGAAAGAGTAAATCCACAAAATAATGAATTCTATAGAAACTTAGTCTAAAACATGTTTACGGAGAAGGATCAGACAACTTAGGAATAAAAATTAAAGAAACTGAATCGGATGCAAGTTGATCTGATCCCTGAATTTCATATATTTGATTATGAATTTCAAGAAGAAACTTACACTCTTCCGATTCCACATGTGTTAGTAAACAAGTGAAAAAGTTGAGAACGAATTAATTCTCAATCCCCGTATTTTAGTAAACGGACAAAATTCATGAACAAAACTCAAAAAAAAAAATATGCATTCAAATTCTTATTCCCTATGCTACTAAAAGAAAAAAAAAATGCTAAATTTATCAAATTCATTCGCAAAATAACGTGATGGTAAAATTTCAAGTCTAAATTACCATGATGATGGACCTTGGTGTAAACATCAGATCCACCAGTTGATGAGTACCTAGCGTAGCACTTGGTCAAGAACATATCACCATAAACTGCGCCACCACATTCACTTTTCACCTGTCCGATTGCCTCCGATATGCAATCCTGACACTCCGCCAAGCTTAAATCGCCGACGCATTGAGCCAAACCTTGTACCTTCCCTGAACCACCCACCCGGTATGGTCCGCTAGACCCCACCAAGGCAGCCAACACAGAATCTCTACGGCTCATTCCATCAGCATCATACCCAATCGACGGCCCACATTTCTTCAGCACCACAGTCTTATCCTCCACTCCCAAAAAGGTAGTGTTGTCATACTTGATGTAGCATCCTTGTAGCTGAAGAGCGCCACCGGAAGTGTAGGGGCAGAAGTGTCCAACTTCGCTCACTGCACGCGCGACGCAGGTGGCACAGTCGGGCATGGCGAGGTCGCCGCGGCATTGGTAGAGCCCGTAAACTACGTCTTGTGTGCTTGAGCCCATGATGGTGTAGTTGTTGTAGGAGGAATAGGTGGCTGAGTTGACCAGGGAGGTGAGGAGTGAGTTGAGATTGGACTCGTAGGGCGAGTTGGGTACGTACTTTTCCTGCGTGCAGCCGACGAAGACGAAGTCGTCTGTGGAGGAAGAACATGAAGGAATGTAGAGACATGACAGAGAAACGATGAATGTGAAGAGGGAGAGAATAGTTGTATTTGCCATTAGAGAGAGAGAGTTGGCACTTCTTTACCAGTGTCAAGCTAACACTAACGTTGGATCGTAAATCACTTAATAAGGGACTAATAAATTGCTGCTATCTCCTTATTTTCTAGGAGTTTCTCTCAAAAAGAACAAAAAACAAAAGGCTACTACAAAAGTTGTACCTTTTCTAATACAAAAAAATACAGCTTTATCTTTTTCAAAATTATTGTAATACAAGACATCAAACATATATATGTTATCCATATTTAGTCTAGCGACAATTATAATGATGGATTGTGTCTTTTTTATGTAACCATGCACGTTAAGTAACTGAGCATACAATGTTGTAGCTGTTTTTTAACTTAAGTATTATGTGCATAAAAGAATACCAGAGAAATTAAAATCTTTAGTTTACATATGTAATTTGTACATAATTGCACGTTTTTGCGGTGTTTAATCTTGTTTTGTTCATTTGTACTAATTATTTTAATTAGCAGTATCAAAGTTTCATACTAATAAATTACTGACTATGCTACTGACATAAGAATCGTCCCTCACCTCACTATAGTAAAGTTGATGTCAACTTTTGAGAAAGGTTTTATGGTGCACAATATTGATGTTCTAATCACCAAACCATTAGCAACAGAAAGAGTGACCCAACTCCTTATAAATCCTTAAAAGTTTTCTTAATTCAAATATGAATAAATATTTGTTCTCATCACCTTGTGACTTTCGGTATATTCAGTTTATGGAATACGACCTTAAGACACAAAATGGATTGATCGCTTTTTCTTTTCTTGAATTTTCCAGAGGGACGTCATAGATTCATAGTTAGGCGCTTTACTATGAATTATTGATAGAACGGTGGCCATCGCACCAAAGTATTAGTTGCACTCTCGTCTTACTTTACAGGTAGAGGACAGCTTAGTTACTTCAAGGAAAAGAAACCTTTGTTCCTGTGGATTATTAGCAAAAAATTGGCACAAATAGCTAACAGGAACGTTTTGTCTCATAGCAAGTAAAAAAAAAAAAAAAAAAAAGAACTCCTCAGTAGGGGTAGGCTTGTTTCATGCAATTGAACAACTCATGGTCTCACAGGGGAGTGGCATGTTTCCTGATTATGTTATGCGTAGGTATTTAGATGTGTTTTGATCATCATTTTGTTTTTTTATTATTAGTTTTGATTTTTATTAGAAATAAAGCGCAAATACAAGAAGAAAAAAAAGCAGGGATGAGTGAAGATAGAGGAAGGGTGGTGTCGGATGGATGTGGAAGACATGCACATAATATGATACACAATATGAAAACTAAAAATTAACAATTGACATAATTTAAATTACGTTTTCTTTTATAATTTTTTGTTTTCATCGTTTTGTATGTCATTCAATGTGCATTTCCATTATTTCATCTTCTTTCTCTTAATATCTAGTCAGAAGACGAGATAAAAACTAACCGATATGATTATCTAACTAGCCCTAATTATTTCAAGAGAGAAGAGTTCCTACTGTCAAGAGGCTATAAATTATTTCCAAATAAATTTACCGGTGTGACCATATACATCATCCTTGTTATTCACTCTCGTGAATCTTTTATATATCTAAGAGAGCAAACTGACAATGACAAAGGCATGGTCGGATTTTATAGCACAACTCTGAAGTGCCTAGAGCCTAGTGGTGCATGGCACGAAGAGACCAAGACAAAATACCATAAATTTAATACGACATGCCTGAATTGAACAGTGGTTCGTTGTTAGGAGTGTAAAAGCAAAGTAACATACACATGCAGCTTGCATGACTCTCCTCCACTACTTCATATATAGTTGACTGCAGAGAGAGCTACGTAACAAACGAAGCAAACAAATTGATATAAATATTATGGCAGAAAGAAAGAGGCCGATGCCACAAGTGTTTGTTGTGGACAGTGAAGTGGGAGCTACAAACTCAAAGCATTAAATTCAGACTGCCCCATTCTTTACAAACACTACCCAAAAAGAACTAGTGGTGTCCAGCAGACGAAAAGTGGTGTGCGCAAGTCATCTCTGTAAGTTAGACTAGTAAACACTTGGTTTACCAGTTCCGTGTTGGCCAGAATTGTTGACATATGTACCGACTGTATTCTGCAGTTGATGAGGCATGCTACTGCTACCAAGAGTCAGTCGTTAATATGATAATGCTTATAATTTTGTCACTAATATATAAAGCAATTACTTACTAAGACAATTGGGAAAATATGAGCAGAATAACGGAATCTAGCAGAGCTTGTACAAGGAACTCTGTTTCATCATGCTAAAGTAACTTGTAATGTCATACACGCTAATATTTATGTATGTAGTTGCATTCATAAAAACAGGGTTATTCCTGCTCTAGCTTTGTCAGTGGGTCCAAACGTAATACTGTGACCGCAGTCGCAATTGTGGTGTCACATAATGCTTTTCTCATAGGGTAATGCTAGGAAGACTAAATTTACAAATTTAATTATCTGTCATAAATAGGAATAAGCACATTTATTAACGTTTAAGTAATAAACCAATCATTAACTTCCATATCTTTTAGCTTTCAAAACTTTGTCAACAAATTTAGTCTCCTTATATTTCAAAGAAATTGAATTCTAGTCATTGGTCCTGCTTTGGTTCATAAACGAGCTGCATGCATGCGCACACCTTCGTCATGCCTTTTTGCTGTTCACTCCTACTTTCTGCTTTTGCAGTAACATTATTCATTCTCTTTCTTTGTGCTGGATGAGGCTGATCGAATGATAGAAAATGGTCGTTTTCAAGAGTTGCAGTCAATAATTGACATACTTCCAGCGAGAAACGGATCAACTGAATCCCATTGTGAAAATGCACAAAATTGTGTCGCATTGTCCAGCTTCCAGAGGAAGAAACGACAGATATTTGTTTTCTCTACTACGATAACACTTTCTCATGATTTTCGTAAGAAGATGAAGTGTAGTTCACTAAAGTCCAACCAATCAATGTCTGACAGGGTGAATTCTGTAGAAGTTCTAAGTGAGCGAGCAGGGATGAGAGACAATGTTGCGGTCATCGATCTGACAAATACATCCATCTTGGCAAATAAGCTGGTGGACTCATTTGTTGAGTATGTGCCTTCCAACTGTTCATCTATTATCTGGCATGTGGAACTCTTTCTTGTGAAAATTCAATTCGCCGTACCGACTTTGTCATTGAGTATGATTCCCTGAATGTGTTTTTTCATTGAAATGTGTGAAATTAACTCTCTGTTCATGCATATACTTTCATTCATACATTTGAGTATGAAATCTGAAATATGTATAATTCTGAAAAGTGAAGTAGACTGGACTGTGGTAATTCCTTTTTTGGATAGTCAATCTTTGGTTGACTTTACATTATTCTTTTTTATTTCTAAATAGATTTAACACCACTCTACTCGTCGCCGTGCTGAATGCAGGCAGTTGATCGTTTTTGGAGAAATGAACATGCATGGTGTACTTGTGGCCGATGATGCTGCTGCAAGAGGCCTGGATATTCCTGGTGTTCGAACTGTTGTTCACTTCCAGCTTCCCCATTCAGCAGAAGCAAACATTTGGATGCTTTGCACCGTGTTTGTTGCGGCCCTTACATTTTCTGACTGGAGAATTACTTTTATCGTTTCTTTTTTCCACTAGGTTGATGCTCACAGAAGTGGTAGAACTGCTAGAGCTTCTGCTGATGGGTCTTGTGCACTCTGCTTTACTAATGTTTGAGCTTATTTTCATTTTTTTTCAGGAAAAATCAAAGAAAAACTGGTTTCAAAGAAATGCAGAATTGGTTGAATAAGTTATCGACCTTGATGACGGTGAGGAGGAAAGGGTGAAAAGTCAAAGAAAGCCAGCTCCATGAGTTTATAAAGAAGTTGCAAAAGGTAGCTTAATACTATGAACGTTGATTTTTCTAAATGCCAAATTGCCTCTTATGATTGTTGAGTGTATGCATAGTCTAAAGTTCAGGTCTATAGTTTTGGGTACAAACTTCTAATGAGATTACTAGCACTATATGGAGCATATCCCTGATATGCGTAGAAGATGATGTCTACAGACTCTCTACACAGTCCCGCGAAGGGCGGGCCAAATAGTGGCACCAAATAATTATTTAATGCAGAATGAATTAGGATAATTACTCTATAGTTTTCGGAGCTACGGATATCTTAGTATTTAAGTTACGGGTGGATGTTCTAAGGGTTATAAGTATGTGACAATGATCCATTGTTTCGTTAGTATTTTTTCAGACTGGTGTTTGTATTGATATTGTTATGCCCTTCAGTTTTGTGACTTTTGTCCTTGTAGCTCCATTTTGATTTCACTTTAGTACAAAGACGGAAGTGAAATTCCCAGTAAATTACAGGCAATTCAGGACAGAGTACTGGAAATTAAGGTAATGAACGGTCATTTTTCTTCACAAGACTTGATTTGATGAAAGGGTTCTTTTATTTTTTATTTTTTTTTATTTTTATTTTTTTTGCATTCCCCTTGACATAATTCAAGCTCAAAAAGTCCATGGATTATCCAAGCAACGAACAAATTTGCGAAAAAATGAAACGTTTTATTATTTGAAACAATCTTGCTCAGATTTTTTAGCTTCAACCAACATGATTGTGACAAAATTATCTGGATTAGAATTCAGCAGAACAAAAACAAGAAGCTAATGATTTTCAGTTGTGGCCTTTTTCTTGCTTGTTTGAATCCTATAGGAGAGTACTCTGCCTAAATGCTTTTTGTCTAAGAGGAAAAAGCAATACTGTTATCTCCATAAGCACTTCTCCAAAAGCACTTTTTCTATATACATGCCAACAGATTTTCCGTCCTAGATTCAAGAAGAGGGCCTTGATGCTTTTGTTGCTGAGTTGTTAGTCGATTTACTAATCTATCCAAAGCTTCTTTCATCCACCAATGCTGACAGACTTCTCTTGCTTCTTCAACATTCATCTATTTTCACAATTATTTCCAAATTGAATCAGCAATTATATCTATTAATTGGATAAATTAATTGATAAAATTAAACATGCACATATAAAAACATACCCAAATTCTTTGCCTGAGGTTCTTTTCTGGCCAGAAATCTAACTGCTCATGAACAAGTAAAGGGAACATGTAGCCTTCATAGAAAGAATCATGGCTTTTGCTCTTGAAACTCCAGTCACCCAATTCACACTGCAAAAAAGATAACAAGAACATCAAAATTATGATATTTCCCAAGTTAATTGTAACAAGCTAGCTAATCAGCTAACGAATATTGCTATTCGGACGACATTTACTGACCACTAATAGGATCCGCCTCTATCATAGTAGAGGTGATTAGCAAGGTAGTGAGTAAATATGGTACAAAAAGCGTTGTTCTTAACTAAGTAACAAGGAAGATCATCACTAACCCCAATGAGTCCTCGTACTCCTGCTTCCTCTAGCGTCTCTCGGGACGCTGCCCCTTCCTTGGATTCGTCCTGTTCCCACCCTCCCTGTTATGGATTAATTGAAAATTTTGTATGATTTAAACTGAACTAATTACTGCAACAAATCATCATTAATGTGATTGAAAAGAAAATCAGGGTACCTTTGGAAAGAGCATCCCCTTGCCCTTCTGTGAACTAATGACAAGGACTTCAAGTTCTTGTGCATCATCCTTTAAGGAAGTTTGCTTGGAAGCTTTATATCTATATGGAATACATCTGCACAAATAGTACAAAAGGAAAAAGCTCCATCAGTAACCAAAAGCATCAATCTCTTTTACTGATTACAAGCGATATTATTTGTCTAAGCTATACTAATGGAGGGAAGAGGATTTGAACTCGGAACAAAGAGAATTGGAGAAGAAGGCTCTTCAATAACAAGTAATGCAGTAGATATACAAGTTCAGAGAGAGAGAGAGACTAACCCGACAACTTGGCGACGACCTTTGCTGTAACGCTGCATATGCCTTCCAGTGCGAGATACCAAAGCAGCAACCGTGTTTTCTTGAGGTATCAAAGCTACCATGTTTTTGCTTCAGATATATTCTTGCAAGTTGGAAACCAGATATATTCTTGCAAGTTGGAAACCAAACCAAACCCACCCAGCTTTTATAAGCAACAAGAAGGAACAGAGTCTTTGGAAAAAACAGAAACAGGTATCCTATTGAAACAAGAAAAAAAAAAAAAAATATATATATATATATATATATTGTTTTATATTTATTGCTGACCACTAGTAATATATAAAGGAAATGAATAATTTGACATATTGATTGAGGATCCTGACTTCCATGTGGTCTGTTGTCCAAAAAAAGGACAGTTGACCTACTTGGGCCATCCCATATAATTAGATTAGGCCATTTTAATTAGGGATGACTTCGGTTCGAGTCTGTTTGATATTAAAAATAAAATTGAATTAATAAGCATTCAACTGTTTAATTTAATTTGGTTTTGACGAATACTTGAAACTGAACCATATCCAACCATTGGTAATGGGTTTGGTTAAATCGGTTTAAGAATATTGTAAATAAAAAAGTTCTTGGAACCAAATTCACACATCACCGTGGGGAAGGAAATGCACAAACTCGACTACATGTAAAATAATAAAAAAATCATAAAGTGACCTTGGCACCAACAGGGTGCTGAAGCAATATATGAGACTCAAGTAGTAGGCATGAGAATAGAGTATGCGATAATTGTGTTACCAGAGATGAATCCTAAAATGATGTATTTATACTAGTCGAGAGAGAGTCATTTTAGAAGATATAATCCGTATTAAGCTGAGAGAATCACAGAGGATATCTAGGAGTAGATATTGCATTCTTTTAAGAGTGTGATTACTTACGGCACACACTAAAATCCCTATATTGTAGGAATTTCAAGAATATAGGAAACCTGGTTAATTCCATGCCGGATCAGGTTTTCGTGTCTTGCGGAATAAGAATGGCCTATCTTAATGAAGTCGATGGACTTCGCCCACTTATCCGGAACAAAATGATGGTAGCAAGATGATATGGTTTGATGGCTATACTATAGAGATTGTTGAGTCCATGACTAGATTTTTGGGATATACGTATTACTTTGGCGTAGAAAATCATGGTCCCACAATTGCCCCTAACTATGTATCTGAAAAGATTGTTCCATTCGATGATGGATAGTTATGAAAGACCATGCCTTTCAAAGTAAATCCGCATTCATTCCATTTAAATTCTCCTGACACGTGGTAATTTGACTCCGTAACTCGCAAATTGTACGTTCCAGATTCATATGTGTTACCTCAAAAGCTGTGGCGGGAAGACAACAATGATAAGGAGTGTCATGTTTTGGGTGCACAATAAACAAGAAGCAGCTCTTTATATTAATGAACGGCTTTAGCTTTTGGTCACATGAATCTCGAGGTAAGGCGTTCCAAAATACGGTGAGATTATTCAGAGAATCTTCTTTAAATAGCGTGGTTCTGTTTCCTTTCTTCTAACTTCTCTTTTCCAAAATTCGAATCAAAGCATGGCCTTCCTTAGCTTCTGTCATATTCCACCTCTCGTATCCATTCCTCACTTTGAGTCTTCAATGATTAAGATATGTAGCCAAAAAATTTGCACCACCCCTATTCGTTGTTATCAAGAATTTGTAGAGGAAGTAAGAGTGAGCATTAACCTTTCAATAGTGAGCTTCCTTCCCTTATCGGGTCTTATAGTCCTCATACTCTGCTCCATAGCCAAAAGCAACATCCTTCTTGCAGTCTTTGTATACGGGTTTAACTTGAGCAAAGTGTCGAGATTCTTCCGTGGGTGCTTCTTAATTGGTGCCCTCTCAGTATCTTCGTAAAGTAAGTTGGACAAGCTTGAATAACATGGATCTCTATTACAAAAGAAAGAACACCCTTCTTAGATAAATTGTGTGCTAGGGGTGAGGGCGTGTCTCCCTTAATATTGTACTTTTTTTGCCCTATTAATGGGACTTAATTTGATTATTCTATGTAATAAACATCTGTTTACACATTTTGTTAAACATTACTTTAATCAAGTCTCCTGTTAGAGTAAAATACTGAGAACTTTTCATCATTTGTTTCCTAAACACGGAATAAATTTCTTGTCCGACAATCTCTCCAACGTAAACCAACTTCGGAGTAATAACTAACAAAGAAAAACACAAATAAGCTTATAGGCGCGGACATAGCTCTAAGCCCCCCCCCCTCGATAACTTTAGTTTGGAAAAATGTTATCTCCCAAATATAGTGTTTATAAATATTTTCATTGCAATATTTGAAATACCACCCTACTCCAACACCAGGGCCAAAACCCATGAAAAATCTTTTACTCTGAACTTGTTATGATGCATTAGTCAGATTAAGGATTTAAAAAGTGATGATTCTCATCTGGAATGGTCTCCGGTTCTTAATACCATTCCAAGCTTATTCCTTTAATTATGATTGTATGCATGTTTGTTCATTCACACTGCCTCATTTCGGGTTTAAGAATTTTTTTTGTCGCAATGTGCCACCCAGAATGGGCTTTCCTTCTTAGTCTGAAGTGCATGTCCTTCCCTAGTGAATCTTAAACAAAAGGTCAATGGGGGCCCTATCTCTTAATATGGGTCAGAACATCTTTGAAATCCTTTTGTCAAACCCTATGCCTTGGATCTAAGTTGTGAAATCTCGTTCCTGGATTTCACTGTTATAATCCACGTATTTGTATTATTGAGTGGCAGCAAGGGAGAGGGGAGAAAGGAGAGAGTGCGGGAGAGAAAAGGGGGGGCAATGAATAAAAAAAAAGAAAAAGTAAAAAAGGAGGGGAAATGAGATAGGAAATGACGGGCTAATCTGAATCCCTTGTAACCCGCCGACCCGACCCGATCCTAGATCCCTATTTCGGCCATCGTTGACGACGGGACCGGTGCCAAAATGCTCCTTACTTCGAACCCAGTCGATCTCTCACCTCAATTCCACCTGTGGATTACCATGTTGGACAAATAGAGCGTGAGACCCTTACGGCTCGCCAGGAAACCTAGAGAGACAACCTTCTTTTCAGGCAACGATCATGGTGGCGCTCTACATGGAGTTGGTAGCCCTTCCTTTCAGGAGCAAAACCCGACAAGAATCTCAGTCATCGGACCTCCGATGAGGGAACGACGAGGTTCTCTAATTTCCGGCCATCCGATGGATCGAGGCATTTTCAGGCCACTTCCAGGCCAAATTGGCCTTAGCCACAGGTATGAAAATTACTCCCCTCATTGAGATCTTCATCTCTGTAAATTTTGGTAATTTTTAAAAATAGTTGAATTTTTCCGGTAAGTTGGGGCAGCCGACCGCTAGGGGTGGGTTCAAAAAACCGAAAACCGAAAACCAAACCGAACCGAAACCGAAAAAACCGAACCGAACGAAAAAACCGAACCGAATTGAAAAAACCAAACCAAACCGAATTCTTTTGGTTCGGTTCGGTTTTAGTGATCTAGAAACCGAACTAAACCGAAC